TAGAATATAAGAAAATTTTGAATGACAAGTTTAAAGTCTTATTTTCTAATTTGTCTAACAAGGAAATTTTGTTAAATCAAGCTTCAAATGAACTAATTGAGGCTAAGGCCATTGTTGAGCGGTCAAATGTAGGTTCATACAAGCTGGATGAAGTCCTTGCATAAGGGAAGACTTTCGGTGATAAAGCAGATCTGGGATTTTTTCCTGGTGCGAGCACCTCCAAACCCAATGTGACCACCTTCATTAAAGCATTTGAATCAGTTCCAAAAGTTGTTGCTAAACCGTGTGAGAAAATTTCGAAGGTAAAAAAGTTCATACCAATATGTCATTTTTTTCACAAGAAAGGACACATCAGACCAAATTGCTTTAAATGAATTTCATACTTAAAAAGATGCATTGGAAATCATGAGTTTTCTTCTTTAAAGTCACCATATCTGAATAATTTTTCCAATAACAGAAAAGTGTGGAGACCTAAGTTAGGTGTTCACTGTCTTGTTACTCATACATCATTTCTTGCTTTTCAAAATGACCAATGGTTCTTTAATAGTGGTTGTTCAAGACACATGATAGGTAACAAATCTTTTTTGACTAATCTTGAATTTGGGGAAGTTGGTCATGTAACTTATAGAGATGGCAAAAGAGGTAAGATTCTTGGAAAAGGTTTTATTATCATTCCTGGCTTCCCAATGCTGAATGATGTGTTTTATGTTGAAGGACTTAAAGCAAATCTTATAAGCATTAGTCAAATTTGTGATAAAGGTTGTATTGTGAAATTTTCAAAGAATATGTGTCAAGTGTTGAATGGTGATGGTACTTCTTTGCTTGAGGGAAAGAGGTCTAATGATAATTACTATTTATTGTCTAACAAAGTTTCCTTTTTAAGCTCCAAAACTGATGGTGTGGATCTTTGGCAAAAGAAACTTGGGCATATGAACTTCAAGGATCTTATGAAACTCTCCAAAAAGGATGTTGTCAAATGAGTACCTAAACTAGAGTATCCCAAAGGTAAAGTGTGTGGCCCATGCCAACAAGGTAAGCAGACTAAGAGTCCTCACAAACCTTTATCTCGTTTAACTAGCTTTGGTGTTTTAGAACTTCTCCATATGGATCTAATGAGTCCTATGCAACCTAAGAGTTTAGGAGGGAAAAGATATGTTTTTGTTTGTGTAGATGACTATTCTAGATATACATGGGTTGATTTTTTAAGAGAGAAGTCTGATGCATATGAGGTCTTTAAATAGTTGTGGGTTATATTGGAGGAGTATGGATCTGGATGATTTAGACGATGCTGACATTGATGATATAGAGACCAGTGGCGTTTTGTCTGTGCATTGTAATTCTTCATGACAAATTATATATTCCTTGCACACTAATTTACTTTTAATCATCATCCAAACAATGTCTAATCACTCTGCTTCTTCAAAAAGCAGGAGATGATAACCTAATCTTCTTGTGTGTTTTGATTGGTGATCGATCCATGTGATGTTGATTTTTCTTTCTTATGTAACTTTCTTGCTTCTTCTTCCTTTTTCCTTTGTGTGTTAGGAATTCAAGATGTTGTGTCTTCTTAATTACTTGGTAGGTTTGTAACTTTTAAAAATTTTCAAGATTTGTGACTTGTTTCTTCTCATAATTTATTTCTCTCTTTAATTACAAAATATTGTGTTTCGTTTACGCAGATAAAGGGAAGAATCCCAGTAGATGCTGCGTAATTTCAATGTATGACACAAAATAAAGTAATATTAGAAATATGTCACTAACGCATAAATCAAACGGCAAGGACAATAAAACGGTATATTATAAAACTACACGAGTGGATAGATCAAATTGCCCTTATGATAATATAAAATCCACGCCAATAACTAGTTGCTCTTTTGGTTGTTAAGTGGGGGTTAATTAATTATAATTTAGTGATAGCAACTTAAATATTATTTTTTGGGTGCTTAATGTGTTTCCAAACGCAATCAACATCACACTATTTTGTCATGTGTATGTAATTAATTAGATATTTATAAATTATTATCTTTTTTTTTGGGCTAGCTTGCGCACACTTCAACTGATCTCCGAAGTCTTTTGAATACCTTACAAGTTCAACTCAAATGACTAATAAGTCACAATGTTTGTGTATGTGATTTTGAATCCAGAAATTTAAGGAAGGGAGCAAACCTCCTTGACTGTCAATCCAATCCTTTAGGTTATTGGTATCCTTTTTCACTATGCACTTTTTTATTAATTTAAATATCTATATTTTTCTGTATTAAGTATTACATCACTTATCAGTAGAAAAACGTTATTCGTAGCATTGAAGGGTCAACTTAAAGTTTAACTTCTATTATAAGTTTATATTTAAATTAGTAAATAACGTTTAGGTGTATATATGACATTATGCTTAATGATAAAAATTGATTTTCTAATCATCCATTGAGAGATGCTGTTTTTTAAATTCATTTTAATGCGATTCTTAAAGAAGAATTTGTAATGGGACAAAACATTGTCACATCAATGGCTATCACTTATATATTCCTAAAATCACCAATTTCAATCTCAAGATTGTGTTGCTTTCAAGTCTCATAGTGATGGATTATATTAATTAGCCACACTTACATGCACTTTTGACAAACACACGCAATAACACCACCCAAGAAAATAAATCTAACCAAACTGGTGGGGTGTATTCGTTTGTCTGTGATTGTGTTTTGTATATGTCTTGACCTCAGAATTAATTCCTATTTAAAAAATATATATACCTCATTAATTAACAATGTTACTCGATCTTCACTGTTTGATGGGGGATTACTTGGCTTATTGTGACTCGCATTTTGGTTCTTTAATTAATTAGTAATAGATTTAGAGGGATGGACGAATGAGGAGATTGACATGTGTAAGTATTTTGTTTTGTCAACTTATTCATTCGGATTGGTGCACAATCTATTTAGTTTCATTTTAAAGGTGTTTACATTAAATCGTATGATCAACAACACTTCTTAATTAAAATTCATTCATCGAACCTGCCTTAATTAAATGTGATTATATTCTAGTTATGAAAAGTTTTTTTGGACATTATATATTATGTAGCTGGAAGAGATTTTATTTAATTATCATTTCAAAAATCCTTTTTCCTAAAGAAGATTATGATTTTAAGAATTTTTTTTTTATAAGGAGATTATAGATTAAAGAATTCTTTCCTATAAAAGAGTCTAGGATCTCAAATCCTTTCCAAAACAGGTTTGGTTTCTTGTTTATCCTTTCAAAGTCACTCAAGTAAAAATAATCCTTTATTATTGTGACTTTTTAAAAAGGAACCATATATTTACCTCCATTATTCTCTGATATTTTCTTTGAGGTTGTTTAGTTTTTGTAGTTTCCAATATGCTTTGGTAGGCTTTGAATTCCGTGTTTTATCTCTTACTGCATAAGTTGATTTTGAACGTTGTTCCATGTTGAGATCTGGACGTGTTCGAGCTGCTGCCGCCGAAGTAATTCGTCATTGTTGAAACTTGAGAGGAGCTCAAGTGCGACCTGGTGGTCCCGTGGAGGAGAGCTTGACTATGAAGATTTGAGGTTCAACCAAAGAGCGAAGATTGAAGTGTTGTCCAAACAGAGAGTTTTTACAATTGATACTTATTCTTGTCTTTGTAATTGAACACATATTATTCATAGTGGATTAGCTTCTTCTAACTTGGTCCCATGGATGTAGGCATGTTGCCGAGTCATGTAAAATTGAGTTGTGTGCTTTATTTTATGTCGTGGATGGTTTATGTTTAATAATTAGTTTAGCAACTCATTAAGCACAACGTGAACAAGTAATCTTAATTCCGCATAAGTTTTAATCAACATGATAAGGGTTTAAAACTTTAATTGGCATTAGATCATGTTCTAAAGAGTTATTTTAGTAATCCTTGATTGTTTTTTTGTGCTTAAATCTTGATTTGGTGGCTGTTGCTTTTTTGCTTTTTTTTTTTGCCTTTTTTTTTTTTTTTTTTTTTTTACAATTTTCTCTCTACAGACCTTGGTGGACCACATCTGTGTTCTGTGTGACCACATCAATCCTGTGTGACGACCATTGTTATTTTGTTTACTATGATTTTGTTTAGTAGGAGGGTCTACCAATAGACCACCCTTGTTAGAGGAACCAATTATGCTTTTTGGAGACCTAGGATGTGTGCTTTTTTGAAATCCATTGATGAGAGGGCTTGGAGGGCTTGTATTGTTGGTTGGAAAGAACCTAAAGTTGAAGAAGCAAGTGGAGCAAGGGAAAAGCCATAGATCAATGACTAACTAAGTTAGAAGAGTCTAATTTCATTCAAAAGCTCTTCATGCTATTTTTAATGCTGTTGTATTAATCAAATGAAAAATATAGCAAACTGTGAAACAACTAAGGATGCATGGGATAGACTCCAAGTAAAAAATGAAGGAACAGACATTGTGAAAAAGACTAGGCTGAGAAGATTAATACGACTATAAAATCTTGTTTGCATGATGAGAAACTATCGCTGATTTTCGTGGAAGATTGTGGATGTTACAAATGAATGTTTTGCTTTGGGTAAAATATATTTGATGCTAAACTTGTCAGGAAAGTGCTATGCTCTTTACCAAGAGATTCATGTCCAAGGTCACCTCTATTGAAGAATGTCATGACCTCGATGAGATGCGCTGAATGAATTGATTGATCCTGCAAACCTTGGAGCTAAGCCTAAAATGGGATAAGAAATCAGGTAAGGACTTGTGCTGAAACATGAGGTAATCTCTAAATCCCCTGCTTATGTTGATTCAAGTAACATTGATGATGATGAGTATGCTTTACTTGCTGAAAACTTTGCAAAGTTCTTGAAGAAGAATATTAGAAAACCGAGTGAGGGTAAAAAGGGAAAACAACCCTTTGTGAAAAAGTTTTTGATCAAACTGGTCAGGGAGCTTCTTGAAAAAAATTTGAGAGATTATGAAAAGAAAGCAAGGGTATAAAATGCTTTGAGTGTGAGGGATATGGTCATATTCAGTCTGAGCTGGTGAGAGACAAATGGAGTGGCGAACTCTATGCTGTCAAGTATATTGAGAGAGGCCTGAAGGTATAAGTTACAGCTTTATTTTATACGTTTTTTCATCTGGGTACTTATACGTTTCAGATTTTTGTTATGATGAGGGTGGATTATATTGTTTTGGTTTGGGCAGATTGATGAGCATGTACAGAGGGAGATTATGAACCATCGCTCCTTGAAGCATTCCAATATTATAAGATTTAAGGAAGTATGTTGACTTGTTCTCCCACTTTGTTTTTCACATTGTTTGTTAGCAAAATTCAGAACTGTATCATTGAATATGTGTTATCATGGCGTCTCGTGTAGGGCTCCAATCAAGAAAATATAACCTCGCCGTCTAACAAAAAACAGAAGCTTTCAGAGAATTTAATCAACCATTTGTTTCACAATTCAACTTGTTTCAGGACCTTCTTCCCCCTCTGCTTTGTTGCTATCAGTTTTCTACTTCACAGATTTTAGCTCATCGTTTTTCTGTCATCACTTACTCTTTACTAACGTATACGGTCAAAACACTCTAAATATGAAAAACTCAAACTGAGTGTATTGCTTTCTAGTTTAGTTAATTGTGAGTTGACTATGCAAAAGAGGTGAGATTAAAGTTTCTTAGTTAACAAGATTTCCTCGTCTTGGCAACAAGACAGGGGCTGAAATCAACTAGTCTTTTGTCGACAACAAACACCAGGATGTAGAATAAGAGTGGTTTATTGTATCATATATTAGGTAGCGATCATTTCGTAGTTCCTGAAGATATATATAGTTGGCTTCAAAATGCTTAAACTTACAAATATTCTCTTCATAATTTGATTGGAGTCCAATTCCTCTGCCCTTGAATATATATCTGGGATTGTTGGACGCAGGTTTTTCTAACACCTACTCATCTAGCCATAGTCATGGAATATGCAGCTGGAGGAGAACTTTTCGAAAGGATTTGCACTGCCGGCAGATTTAGTGAAGATGAGGTATATATTGTACACTATTAGTTTGTTTCCAAAATTGATTTCATCAGTTTATCTTATAGTTGATTAAGTTCTTGTTTCTATCAGGCAAGATATTTCTTTCAACAACTTATATCTGGAGTTAGCTACTGTCACTCAATGGTAAGTAACTAAATCATATAAAATTATTCAATCTGTTTATTGAACTGAATTAATTGTTTACATATTTTTGGTTGCAGCAAATTTGCCATAGAGATCTTAAGTTGGAAAACACACTGTTGGATGGAAGCACCGCACCCCGCCTCAAAATATGTGATTTTGGCTAATCCAAAGTAATTTAAATAACTTACCAATTAGGTTGCTCCCACCCACCAGTAATGTTACTTACCTATAATAACTGTTAGATTCATATCCTCAAAATGATTCAACGGTTATTATGGACCATTAACATTGCTCAACGGGTAACATAGTGATTCCCACAAGTTAATTATCAATAAAATTATGCACTTTTATCACTAACGATTAAACTTGGTATTTGTAGTCATCTGTTTTGCACTCGCAGCCAAAATCTACTGTTGGCACACCAGCCTACATTGCACCTGAGGTCTTGTCTAGAAAAGAGTATGATGGGAAGGTAATTAATTATTATAAATATTAATAATTATGTCAATCTGATAATTCTTAATGACGTTATCTAATTAAGTTGAACCTACCTTTTTGTTCTAATCCAGCCACCTAGTTAAATGAATGATAAGTAGTTGATTATTTGGGGATTATAGATTGCAGATGTTTGGTCTTGTGGTGTGACGCTATATGTGATGTTGGTTGGAGCTTATCCTTTTGAAGATCCAGAGGACCCAAGAAACTTCAGAAAAACAATTCAGGTTAGTTAATTACTAACTTTTAAAACCATTTGATAATCTAAAATATTTATTTTTTTGTTGTCGATTAATGGAAAAACGTTGGCTTATGGCAGCGGATTCTCAGTGTCCACTACTCAATACCAGATTATGTAAGAGTTTCCATGGAGTGCAAACATCTTCTATCTCGGATTTTTGTGGCTAACCCCGAAAAGGTACTTATATTTAATTCACAATAATATTTAATTATACAAAACTAACTTATATAAATTAATGTGACATTATGAGATTGAAGCAAAGTAGATTATTTCTCAATTAACATTAATATGACGACACATCTATGTAACAATACTCTTTATCTTATGGAATTATACATAATTTTTTTTGATGTCATATGCTATTGGGTACATGTTAATATATTTGTTGCTAAATATTTTGCAATATGCATTGTTTATTTTCCTTGTATTTTAATTTGACGGGGTTAACTTTTTAGCAGAGAATAACCATTCCAGAAATAAAAAAGCACCCATGGTTCTTAAAGAACTTGCCGATAGAATTTATGGAAGATGAAGGTAAAATGGAAAATGATGAAGAAGACAAGCAATCTCAAAGCGTAGAAGAAATATTAGCTATAATTCAAGAGGCACGCAAAGCAGGAGAGGGTGCTAATAAAGTTGGTGGGTTATATATTGGAGGGAGTATGGATCTGGATGATTTAGACGATGCTGACATTGATGATATAGAGACCAGTGGCGATTTTGTCTGTGCATTGTAATTCTTCATGACAAATTATATATTCCTTGCACACTAATTTACTTTTAAATCATCATCCAAACAATGTCTAATCAATCTCTGCTTCTTCAAAAAGCAGAAGATGATAACCTAATCTTCTTGTGTGTTTTGATTGGTGATCGATCCATGTGATGTTGATTTTTCTTTTCTTATGTAAACTTTCTTGCTTCTTCTTCCTTTTTCCTTTGTGTGTTAGGAATATCAAGATGTTGTGCTCTTCTTAATTACTTGGTAGGTTTGTAACTTTTAAAAATTTTCAAGGATTTGTGACTTGTTTCTTCTCATAATTTATTTCTCTCTTTAATTACAAAATAATTGTTGTTTCGTTTAGTAGATAAAGGGAAGAATCCCAGTAGATGCTGCGTAATTTCAATGTATGACACAAAATAAAGTAATAAATTAGAAATATGTCACTAACAGCATAAATCAAACGGCATAGGAAAATAAAACGGTATAATATATAAAACTACACGAGTGGATAGAGTCAAATTGCCCTTATTGATAAATATAAAATCCACGCCAATAACTAGTTGCTCTTTTGGTTGTTAAGTGGGGGTTAATTAATTAATAATTAATAGTGATAGCAACTTAAATTTTATTTATTTGGGTGCTTAATGTGTTTCCAAACGCAATCAACATCACACTATTTTGCCATGTGTATGTAATTAATTAAGATATTTATAAATTATTATCTTTTTTTTTTGGGCTAGCTTGCGCACACTTCAACTGATCTCCGAAGTCTTTTGAATACCTTACAAGTTCAACTCAAATGACTAAATAAGTCACAATGTTATTGTGGTATGTGATTTTGAATCCAGAAATTTAAGGAAGGGAGCAAACCTCCTTGACTGTCAATCCAATCCTTTAGGGTTATTGGTATCCTTTTTCACTATGCACTTTTTTTATTAATTTAAATATCTATATTTTTCTGTATTAATGTATTACATCACTTATCAGTAGAAAAACGTTATATTCGTAGCATTGAAGGGTCAACTTAAAGTTTAACATTCTATTATAAGTTTATATTTAAATTATGTAAATAACGTTTAGGTGTATATATGACATTATGCTTAATGATAAAAATTGATTTTCTAATCATCCATTGAGAGATGCATGTGATTTTAAATTCATTTTAATGCGATTCTTAAAGAAGAATTTGTAAATGGGACAAAACATTGTCACATCATATGGCTATCACTTATATATTCCTAAAATCAGCCAATTTCAATCTCAAGATTGTGTTGCTTTCAAGTCTCATAGTGATGGATTATATTAATTAGCCACACTTACATGCACTTTTGACAAACACACGCAATAACAACCACCCAAGAAAATAAATCTAACCAAACTGGTGGGGTGTATTCGTTTGGTCTGTGATTGTGTTTTGTATATGTCTTGACCTCAGGAATTAAATTCCTATTTAAAAAAATATATATACCTCATTAATTAACAATGTTATCTCGATCTTCACTGTTTGATGGGGGATTAAGACTTGGCTTATTGTGACTCGCATTTTGGTTCTTTAATTAATTAGTAATAGATTTAGAGGGATGGACGAATGAGGAGATTGACATGTGTAAGTATTTTGTTTTTGTCAACTTATTCATTCGGATTGGTGCACAATCTATTTAGTTTCATTTTAAAGGTGTTTACAATTAAATCGTAGTGATCACAACACGTCTTAATTAAAATTCATTCATATCGAACCTGCCTTAATTAAATGTGATTATATTTCTAGTTATGAAAAGATTTTTTATGGACATTATATATTATGTAAGCTGGAAGAGATTTTATTTAATTATCATTTCAAAAATCCTTTTTCCTAAAAGAAGATTATGATTTTAAGAATTTTTTTTTTATAAGGAGATTATAGATTAAAGAATTCTTTCCTATAAAAGAGTCTAGGATCTCAAGAATCCTTTCCAAAACAGGTTTGGTTTCTTGTTTATCCTTTCAAAGTCACTCAAGTAAAAATAATCCTTTTATTATTGTGACTTTTTTAAAAAGGAAGCCATATTATTTACCTCCATTATTCTCTGAATATTTTCTTTGAGGTTGTTTAGTTTTTGTAGGTTTCCAATATGCTTTGGTAGGCTTTGAATTACCGTGTTTTATCTCTTACTGCATAAGTTGATTTTGGAACGTTGTTCCATGTTGAGATCTGGACGTGTTCGAGCTGCTGCCGCCGAAGTAATTCGTCATTGTTGAAACTTGAGAGGAGCTCAAGTGCGACCTGGTGGTCCCGTGGAGGAGAAGCTTGACTATGAAGATTTGAGGTTCAACCAAAGAGCGAAGATTGAAGTGTTGTCCAAACAGAGAGTTTTTACAATTGATACTTATTCTTGTCTTTGTAATTGAACACATAATTATTTCATAGTGGATTAGCTTCTTCTAGACTTGGTCCCATGGATGTAGGCATGTTGCCGAGTCATGTAAAATTGAGTTGTGTGCTTTATTTTATGTCGTGGATGGTTTATATGTTTAATAATTAGTTTAGCAACTCATTAAGCACAACGTGAACAAGTAATCTTAATTCCGCATAAGTTTTAATCAACATGATAAGGGTTTAAAACTTTTAATTGGCATTAGATCATGTTCTAAAGAGTTATTTTAGTAGATCCTTGATTGTTTTTTTGTGCTTAAATCTTGATTTGGTGGCTGTTGCTTTTTTGCTTTTTTTTTTGCCTTTTTTTTTTTTTTTTTTTTTTTTACAATTTTCTCTCTACAGACCTTGTGTGACCACATCTGTGTTCTGTGTGACCACATCAATCCTGTGTGACGACCATTGTTATTTTGTTTACTATGAGTTTGTTTAGTGAAGGAGGGTCTACCAATAGACCACCCTTGTTAGAGGGAACCAATTATGCTTTTTGGAGACCTAGGATGTGTGCTTTTTTGAAATCCATTGATGAGAGGGCTTGGAGGGCTTGTATTGTTGGTTGGAAAGAACCTAAAGTTGAAGAAGCAAGTGGAAGCAAGGGAAAAGCCATAGATCAATGGACTAAGGCTGAGTTAGAAGAGTCTAATTTCATTCAAAAGCTCTTCATGCTATTTTTAATGCTGTTAGTATTAATCAAATGAAAAATATAGCAAACTGTGAAACAACTAAGGATGCATGGGATAGACTCCAAGTAAAAAATGAAGGAACAGACATTGTGAAAAAGACTAGGCTGAGAAGATTAATAACTGACTATGAAAATCTTGTTATGCATGATGATGAAACTATCGCTGATTTTCGTGGAAGATTGTGTGATGTTACAAATGAATGTTTTGCTTTGGGTAAAATATATATTGATGCTAAACTTGTCAGGAAAGTGCTATGCTCTTTACCCAAGAGATTCATGTCCAAGGTCACCTCTATTGAAGAATGTCATGACCTCGATGAGATGCAGCTGAATGAATTGATTGGATCCTTGCAAACCTTGGAGCTAAGCCTAAAACGATGGGATAAGAAATCAGGTAAAGGACTTGTGCTGAAACATGAGGTAATCTCTAAATCCCCTGCTTATGTTGATTCAAGTAACATTGATGATGATGAGTATGCTTTACTTGCTGAAAACTTTGCAAAGTTCTTGAAGAAGAATATTAGAAAACCGAGTGAGGGTAAAAAGGGAAAACAACCCTTTGTGAAAAAGTTTTATGATCAAACTGGTCAGGGAGGCTTCTTGAAAAAAAATTTGAGAGATTATGAAAAGAAAAGCAAGGGTATAAAATGCTTTGAGTGTGAGGGATATGGTCATATTCAGTCTGAGTGTGCCAACACTCTGAAGAAAAAGGATAAAGCTATGGCTGCCACCCTAAGTGAGAGAGAAGATAGTGAAAATGGAGGTGATGACTCTAATGAAGATGAAAATTACTTGGCCTTTGCGGTGAACCAAGAGGATAGTGATAGTGTGTCCTCAGATGGCTCATGTGATGTCTGCAAAGAGCAACATAAGGCTTATGACAAGATGTATGAGTCATGGTTAAAGGCTATCAAGAAGATTAAATCTCTTGAATCTGAAAAATGCATCTTAATAGAAGATAAGAAAATTTTGAATGATAAATTGAAAGTCTTATTTCCTGATTTGTCTAACAAGGAAATTTCGTTAAATCAAGCTTTAAATGAACTAACTGGGGCTAAGGCCGTTGTTGAGAGGTTAAATGCAGGTTCATACAAGTTGGATGAAGTTTTTGCACAAGGGCAAACTTTTGGTAATAAAGCAGGTCTTGATTTTTCTTCCAAACCCAATGTGATCACCTTCGTTAAAGCATCTGAATCAATTCCAAAAGTTGTTGATGAATTGTGTGAGCAGATTTCAAAGGTAAAAAATTTCATACCAATATGTCATTTTCGTCACAAGAAAGGACACATCAGACCAAATTGCTTTAAACTAATTTCATATTTAAAAAGATGCATTGGAAATTATGAGTTTTCTTCTTTAAAGTCACCACATCAGTCTCTCAGCTCACCACATTAGAATAATTTTTCCAAAAACAAAAAAGTGTGGAGACCTAAGTTAAGTGCTCACTATCTTGTTACTCATACATCATTGCTTGTTTTTCAAAATGACCAATGGTACTTTGACAGTGGTTGTTCAAGACATATGACAGGTAACAAATCTTTATTGACTAATCTTGAATTTGGGGAAGTTGGTCATGTAACTAATATAGATGGCAAAAGAGGTAAGATTCTTGGAAAAAGGTTCTATTGTCATTCCTGGCTTCCCAATGCTAAATGATATGTTTTATGTTGAAGGACTTAAAGCAAATCTTATAAGCATTAGTCAAATTTTTGATAAAGGTTGTATTGTGAAATTTTCAAAGAATATGTGTCAAGTCTTGAATGGTGATGGTACTTCTTTGCTTGAGGGAAAGAGATCTAATGATAATTGCTATTTATTGTCTAACAAAGTTTCTTGTTTAAGCTCCAAAACAGATTGTGTGGATTTTCAGCACAAGAAACTTGGGCATATGAACTTCAAAGATCTAGTGAAACTCTCCAAAAAGGATGTTGTCAAAGGACTACCTAAACTTGAGTTTCCCAAAGGTAAAACGTGTGGCCCATGCCAACAAGGTAAGCAGACTAAGAGCCCTCATAAACCTTTATCTCGGTTAACTACCACTGGTGTGGTAGAACTTCTCCATATGGATCTAATTGGTCCTATGCAAACTGAAAGTTTAGAAGGGAAAAAGTATGTTTTTGTTTGTGTAGATGACTATTCTAGATTTACATAGGTTGATTTTTTAAGAGAGAAATCTGATGCATTTGAGGTCTTTAAATGTCTTGTCAAAAGGTTACAGATGGAACAAAATTGCCAAGTGAAGAAAGTGGTAAGAATAAGGAGTGATCATGGTAGAGAGTTTGAAAATTCTGATTTTTCTAACTTCTATGATATACAGGGTATTTGGCATGAATTTTTTGCCCCAATGACACCTCAACAAAATGGTGTAGTGGAGAGGAAGAATAGAGTTCTTCAAGAGATGGCAAGGATTATGTTAAATGACAAGAAGTTGCCAACAAGACTATGGACCGAGGCAATTAACACTGCATGTCACATTTCAAACCGAGTGTTCTTAAGAAAAGGTACATCACAAACTCCATATGAGTTGTGGAAAGGTAAAAAGCCAAATCTTTCATATTTCCATGTCTTTGGGTGCAAGTGCTATGTCTTGAATGATAGAGATCATTTAGGAAAATTTGATGCAAAGAGTGATGAAGGTGTGTTCCTCGGATACTCTTTAAATAGTAGAGCCTATAGGATCTTTAACATGAGAATTGAACGTATTATTGAGTCATTTAATGTGGTTTTCTCTGATTCAGAAGATTACTCATAGTTCTCACAAGAAGATGTAATTGAAGATATGACTACCCTTGCTAAGGTGACCACTGATCGAGATGGTGTGTTCACTTTGAATGCGACTGGAACACAAGATCAAGCTAAGGTGATCACCCCAGAACCTGATGTGACCAGATGTGACCACCACAGGTGCCTAACAAGATTTAGTTTTTGAAAGGCTATGACTTGATTTGTTAATTGATTTATTCGATGAGATCACTCAGAAAAAGCCTTCAAAAACCAAAAAACCACCTTCTTAGATCAAGAAAGCTCATCCACCATCCATTGTGATTGGAAATCTCGAAGAGGTAATGGTAACAAGAAGAAAAAGGTTGAATGAAATAAATATCTTGTGCTATGTTTCTCTTACAGAACCAAATAATGCAAAACAAACTCTGGAGGATGATTGCTAGATTGCTGCCATGCATAAGGAGCTTGAACAGTTTGAGAGAAACGATGTGTGGAGCTTGGTTCCTCAACTTGAAGGTATAAATGTTATAGGAACTAAGTGGATCTTCAAAAACAAGTCTGATGAGTTTGAGAACATCATCAGAAACAAAGTCAAACTCGTTGCACAAGGATATACCTAAGTTGAAGGAATAGATTTTGATAAGACCTTCGCTCCAATGGCCAGATTGGAATCAATCAGATTGTTACTTGATGTTGCTTGTTGTCTAAGGTTGAAGCTCTACCAAATGGATGTGAAGAGTGCCTTCTTGAATGGCATGCTGATGGAAGAAGTGTATGTGGAGCAACCTGTTGGATTTCAGGATCCTCACAAGCCAGATCATGTATTCAAACTGAAGAAAGCATTGTACGGGTTGAAACAGACCCCAAAAGCATGGTATGAGAGGCTTACCTCCTTTCTCCTTGAGCGCAACTACAAGAAAGGTAATGTTGATAAAACACTTTTCATTAAGCATTGTAATGGTGAGTTTTTGTGTGCACAAATGTATGTTGATGACATTATTTTTGCATCCACATCTCAAACTCATTTGGATGAATTTGTAGTCTTAATGAAAAATGAATTTGAGATAAACATGGTAGGTGAGTTGAGTATGTTTCTAGGACTTCAAATAATATAATTTAATGATGGTATGTTTGTGTCTCAAACTAAATATGCCAAGTACATGCTTAAAAGGTTTAGTCTTAAAAATGCCAAACATGCTAAAACCCCCATGAGTTCTATACTTAAACTGTCCAAGGATGAAAATGGGTAGAAGGTACATAATAAACTATTTAGAAGCATGATAGGAAGTCTTTTGTACTTAACTGCTAGCAGACCTGACTTGTGTTTTAGTGTAGGTATTTGTGCTAGATTTCAGGCTGATCCAACTGAACTTCACCTTACTGCAGTGAAGAGAATTATGAAATATGTCTTAGGTACATGTGATTTTGGATTGTAGTTTGCATATGATATTAACTCTACCTTGGTTGGTTATAGTGATGCAGATTAGGCTGGAAGTTTGGATGACAGGAAGAGTACATCAAGAGGATGTTTTTATCTTGGAAATAATATGGTGACATGGTATAGTAAGAAACAAAATTCCATTTCACTCTCAATGGCAAAGGATGAATACATTGTTGCAGAAAGCTATTGTACACAGGTTTTGTAGCGTAAACAAATGTTGTGTGATTATGGTTTTGATCAAGAGTGTATAACTGTATTCTGTGACAATAATAGTGCAATCAATATTTCTAAGAATCTAGTACAACACTCTAGGACTAAGCATATTGAATTTAGGCATCATTTTATTAGAGACTTAGTTGAAGAGAAGGTCATCACTCTTGCACATGTAAACACAAACTCTCAACTAGCTGACTTGTTTACAAAGGCTTTAGATTTTCAAGTATTTGTGAATTTGAGGAAGTCCATTGGACTGATTCAACTTGAGTAGAACTATGTTTTCTTTTATATTAGATCATGGGAAAATTCTCTTGTTTTAGAGTTGCAAGTGTATTTGATCTGTGGAGTGTCATTGAAAATATTTCTCTCTTGTGAAATGTACGCAATGAGTGTGGTGTCCACCTTGTTTTTCTCATCTCTTGAAGTATAATGACTTTTTTACATCCTTGAGTGCATAATGCTTGATTCTTATCACCTTGTAAGAGAGCTACCTTGCTTGGAGTGTGAAGGTCATATTTGAGTAATTTTCTAGGATGTAGAGAACCTTATGTCTTTGAAAAACCTACCATTTAGAGGACTATCTCCTTGTCAGTGTGAAAGCTACATTTGGTTACTTCTTGAGAGAATTTGCCCATTTAATCTTAGTTGATATGAAAAAGAATTCAAATTTTTTGAGATTATGTTCAAGAGGAAAAAAGGGGGCATGAGAGAAGGGGGAGATATATAATATATATTGTTTCAATTTGACCAATGTGTCACGATTCACCCCCTTGAGGACACAACACACACAAATGATCAAGTTTTCTTGTTGATTGCTATCATGTATGTATTAAGTCATGAAACTTTGATTGTTGAACTACATGGAAGAGACTTTCCTTGTGCATCTTTGTTAAAGATTGAGACTTGTTTAAAATGTCATATGTACAGATGTGTATCACTTACCTCCTTAAAATTCAATGAATTTTTTATTGAACTCGTGATAAATTTTTATTTTTTTTTGTTGTTTTTGCTCAAAGTAGAATAAGTGTTTAAGATCTGCTGCTTTTGTACGTATGTCACCACCTTGAGAGTGAAGTTGTCACCTTGAGTCATTGTGTTCACATGAGTGTTGACGGTCACCACATATTGTCTAAATTGGTTCAGTTTGCTCAAACGATTCCTAGTGTGGTCACACAAACATTTAAGTGTCATCACATGACTGTTGAGTTTTTTAGTTCATGTTTTTGTTCTCTCGGGTTTTTTCTTCTATGTCCCCATATTGATTTTTAGAGTCCATGCACTATTCAAGTCCCTAAATTTTCTAAGATTGCCAAACATTATGAACAAAGTGGGGGAGAATTATTTGTGTTTGTTGTGCTTCCTTGGTTGGTTTCACTCTAGGAGAGTTTTCTATGTTTTTATGTAAGCCTATTTGATGATGTTTTTATTTAAGTTGATTTGATGCTGATTTTTTTTTATTAACTGTGGTTACTGATGCAAGTTATTTATTGTGTTTACTGATCCTTATTGAACTTGCTGATGTTGTTTCTTTCACGTGCAGTGAATCAATCCGTCATTAGTTGGTTTGTGATTTGACTTTATATTGATTGATTGAGAACTGAACTAACCCTCTTGTGCCTTTGATTATTAATCGCTTGGTAGTGATTTGGTTTAGTTACTCAGGGGGAGTATACTAATTGAGGGGGAGTTATTCAGCTTAGTTGTTCTTTACTTAATGCAAAACTATTTTTGATTGATGATACTGATTGTGTTTTGCTTAAAATTGTGCTTTGTTCATAAGTTTGACAAAGGGAGAGATTATAAGTACTTTGGTTTTGCCAACTTATTCATTCGGATTGGTGCACAATCTATTTAGTTTCACTTTAAAGTGTTCACACCTAAATCAGAGTGATCACAACACATCTGACAGATTTTATTTTAATATTCATGCATATCACACCTTTCTTAATTAAATGTGATTATATTTCTAGTTGTGGAAAGATTTTTTGTGGACATTATATATTATGTGAGCTATAAAATATTTTATTTAATTATGATTTCAAGAATCATTTTTCTACAAGAAGATTATGATTTTAAGAATTCTTTTCTTATAAAGAGATTATAGATTAAAGAATTTTTTCCTATAAAGGAGTCTAGGATCTCAAGAATCCTTTCCAAAATAGGTTTGGTTTCTTGTTTATCCTTTCAAAGTCACTCAAGTATAAATAATCCTTTTAGTATTGTGACTTTTTAAAAAAGGAAGCTATAGTATTTACCCCCATTATTCTCTGAATATTTTCTTTGAGGTTGTTTAGGTTTTGTAGGTTTCGATATGCTTTGGTAGACTTTGAATTACCGTGTTTTATCTCTTATTACATGAGTTGATTCTGGAACGTTGTTCCATGTTGAGATATGGACGTGTTTGAGCTATTGCTGCCGAAGTAATTCGTCATTGTTGAAACTTGAGAGGAGCTCAAGTGCAACCTGGTGGTCCCGTGAAGGAGAATCAAGAATATGAAGATTTGAGGTTCAACCAAAGAGCGAAGATTGAAGTGTTGTCTAAACATGGAGTTTTTGCAACTAATATTTATTCTTGTCTTTGTAATTGAACACATAATTATTTCATAGTGGATTAGCTTCTTCTGGACTTGGTCCTATGGATGCAGGCATGTTGCCAAACCATGTAAAGTTGAGTTGTGTACTTTATTTTATGTCGTGGATGGTTTATATGTTTAATCATTAGTTTAGCAACTCATTAAGCACAACGTGAACAAGTAATCTTAATTCCGCATAAGTTTTAATCAACATGATAAGGGTTTAAAACTTTCAACATGGTTAAGCACTTTGTGGACTCAAATCTTGTTTGATAATTTATCACTATTATTGTTTTAGTCCATTCATGATTTGTTTCCTCTAAAATCTCTATGCTTTGTTTTCTTTTCTTTATTCCTCTTTCTCTTCTCAATTATCTTCTTTTTAGAAAATAGCAAATAATAGAAAACAAGAAAGAAATCTAGTATTGGGCTTTTATTCACTATGGTTGCATTTGGGAGGTGGAATTAGATTGGATTGGATTAACTTTGGGAAAGGGTTGGATTAGGATATGATTTGATTATAATAATATTGTCTTATGTTTGGTGAAGTATGAGACTCGATAAGAATGTTTATATTAGCAATTAATTAAAAACATTTGTAGTTCCCAAATTTCCCAAGAGCAATAATATAATTTCTCCATTTGATATAACTTGCACCCTAAGCAAATTATCCAAGAGATATTCTCCAAAATAGGAAGTAGAATCAAAATTGAATGAAGAATAAGGAAGTCAATTGAAATTAGAAAGTGAATACGAATAGGATTTGATCCTAAAGAGGAAAGAGATCCTATATTCTCCTAAAACAAAAGCATTCCTTCTTCTACCAGTACCACATGATCTGCACCACTCGCAACCATCTCAAAGTCCCCCAATCTTACTCTGCCAAATCCTACCATCCCTTACCTTTACCTTACCACCACCACAATCTTTAACACCTCTAACTCTTCCTCCTCATTCTCTATCTCCTCATCGCCTTCGCTCGTCAATGCTTCATTTCCTTTAAGTCTAAACTTTTCCTCAAGGGTCACACCCTCATCCACTATTTCGCTTCTCTCGAATCCGCTCTTGTTTCGTTCCTCTTTCTCATCCTCTCCGTTTCTCTCTTAATCTCTGAGTCAATTTCTCTTCTTCCCTTCCCCTCTAAACTTTTCTTCGCTCTCCCTACCATTGTTTTTTACCTCCAATATTCTATCTCCTCCGTCATTGCCTCTGTTTAGACCTCCCATTCCCACGATCAATTGCGCCTTCACCTTAGTTATGGGCTTGACTCGTGCACCGTGGGTCGCACCAAATTATGCGCCTTTATTGTCTCCTTGGATAGATCGCATCGATTGTTGCCTCACCAACCTCCTTGCTCATGCGACTGCCTCTACGCACGTTCATTGTTTTGTTGATTGTGGGTTGTGGCTTGATTGTTGTTTGTCTGTTAGAGCAGATTTGTTTGAATTGGTTGGGTTTGAGTTTGGGTTTCTGAAACTGGTTGTTAGTAGGACCAAGATTTTGAATGTTTGGACTCTATGTGGTTTTATCTATACACAATATAATCTCACAGATTGAAGGTGCTGAAATGGATTAAGAAATAAGAGATATTCTCAAATAAGTATGTATTCATTCTCATTGTCTTATGGTAAGTGAAGGTTATGATATTTACACACGTTTAACCAGTTTGACTCCTGCTAATTGTGGTGCTAAAATTTTGACTTTCAATATATTTAGGGGTGATTGGAGTCTATTGAACTTGTGCAACTTTGGTGGAAGATCGCGATCAAAACCTATAACTCAGTTCATGTTATTGCTAGATTCAGTTCAAATGGCTAACTCAATGGCGTTTGAACCTTTGTTAAGAAAGTAAGGTTTCAAAACTTCATAATGTATATTTTATTCTATTGAATTTTTTTTCAAGTGGGCACCATTTTCAGCCAACAACTTGTTTAGCAGGTTTTGTAACGCCCCACCTGAGGTACGTAGTTATTGTTTTTCTTTCGCTCTCATTTGAGTTGGTTTTGGTAATATTGTTTGACTGAGTGTTGTGTTGAATGCTTGCCCTGAAATGGGTTGAAAATAGAAGAAGTTTAGTGTTTCAGTCTTCGCCAGGGCGAAGAAGAGTATTCGCCGCGGCGAAGAGGTGTTGAAGCCACGAGGAAGCTGCTGGACAGTTTCGCCGCGGCGACAGAAGTTTCTTCGCCGCGGCGACAGGCCGATTAAATTGTTTGTTAAGTTTTAGATATTTTCTTCCCTAAGGGCAATTTGACCATTCTACCCCTAATTAGCAGGAAAAGTGGGGAGTTAATTGTAAGGATTTTTCATGGAGAATATGTTGATATGGGGGTGAGTTTGTAATGAATCAAAGGATATAGATGGAATTCCCAAAGAAGAGTAAGGGCAAAATGGGNTTTACCTCACTACCACCACAGTCTCAAACACCTCTTAAATCTTCCTCCTCATTCTCTGTCTCCTCATCGCCTTCGCTCATCAATGCTTCATTTCCTCTGACTCTAAACTTTTCCTCAAGGGTCACACCCTCATCCATTGTTTCGCTTCTCTCCAATCCGCTCTTGTTTCCTTCCTCTTTCTCATCCTCTCCGTTTCTCTCTTAATCTCCGAGTCAATTTCTCTCCTTCCCTTCCCCTCTAAACTTTTCTTCGCTCTCGCTACCGTTGTTTTTTACCTCCAATATTCTATCTCCTCTGTCGTTGCCTCTGTTCATACCTCCCATTCCCACGATCGATTGCGCCTGCACCTCGGTTGTGTGCCTGACTCGTGCACCATGGGTCATACCAAATTGTGCGCCTTTGCTGTCTCCTTGGATAGATCGCATCGATTGTTGCCTCACCAACCTCCTTGCTCACGCGACTGCCTCTGCGCGCGTTCGTTGTTTTGTTGATTGTGGGTTGTGGCTTGATTGTTGTTTGTTTGTTAGAGCGGATTTGTTTGAATTGGTTGGGTTTGAGTTTGGGTTTCTGAAACTAGTTGTCAGTAGGACCAAGATTTTAAATGTTTGGACTCTATGTGGTTTTATCTATACACAATATAATCTCACAGATTGAAGGTGCTAAAATGGATTAAGAAATAAGAGATATTCTCAAATAAGTATGTATTCATTCCCATTGTCTTATGGTAAGTAAAGGTGTTATGATATTTACACACGTTTAACCAGTTTGACTCCTGCTAATTGTGGTGCTAAAATTTTGACTTTCAATACATCTAGGGGTCACTAGAATCTATTGAACTTGTGAAACTTTGGTGGAAGATCACGATCACAACCTATAACTCACTGCATGTTATTGCTAGATTCAGTTCGAATGGCTAACCGCCTAACCCAATGGGGTTTGAACCTTTGTTAAGAAAGTAAGGTTTCGAAACTTCATAATGTATATTTTATTCTGTTGAATTTTTTTTCAAGTGGGCACCATTTTCAGCCAACAACTTGTTTAGCAGGTTTGCCCTGGACATTTATGAAGCGGAAACAATCCCTGAAAAGAAGGACATGGTTGCTCAAAATCCTCTCATGGTGTCTGAGGTGAAAACACTTTTACTCTACCATTTGATATTTCGGTTCCAAGTTTTCATGTCTCTCTCAGGTAACTAACTTTAATTGAACCCAGGTTCCTCAGCAAAGGAACAAAACTGATTGCGGATATTTTGTCCTTTCTTATATAAGTAAGTTTGTGCAATGTGTCCCAATGAATTTTTGCGTTACTAAGGGCTACCCTTACTTTGTAAGTTATGTAGTCTTGCTTATACTGATACTTATATATTTGTTCTAAGTCATATTCTGCCAACAAGACTCTAATTGCTTGTGTATTTTTTATTTATTTTCTTTTCGCCACATCATATGAAGGAGGATTGGTTTGGTCACGAAGACTTACAATCCTTCCTTGACAAACTATTGTCTGACATTGTGTTGAGTGATTTGTGGATTTGTTTATGTTTGGTTTTACTTTTTCTGAGACTACATAGTAAGTGCATAATTGTTGAAGAACGATGCAATATATAGTTGAATTGTGTTGGATTGATGGGTTGATCTGGAGGAATTTAGAAACAGTGGATAAGGTAACAAGAAATAATCAACAAGAGAGTAGATAATTTTATGAATTTATTTGTAAAATATAACTTTTCCATTTACTGTTGAAGGAAATGAAATTCATGTGTTATAGAATATCTCCTATGAAATGGGAAGCTAATTTATTTCTCACCCAGAAATAAATGCAAGTGATTATATAGTTTCATCTATGCATGGCAATGTATATTCAATTTCATACTTTGAATTGGTGTAATCTAAGAAAAAAGTCTGAGTTGAACAAATTATTTGCCCGAATATGAATAAAGATAAGATTTGACTCATTATAGATTTCTTATTGATAATTATGTGATTATGATATATAACTATCGAACAATACAAACATGCATAAACCTTAGTTTATTATTCACATAAGTAAACAATGTTAAAGTAGGCAATTTGTCAATTCAATTTAACAATTTCCATTCATACTACAGACTTTTAATGTCGCGGCATTGAACAACTTTTTTTTTTTTTTTTTGGGTAAGTAAGTTTTATATTCAAAAGAAAATGGTTACAAAGTAACACAATCGGCTGAACCAAAAAGCCCAAAAGGTAAACAAAGCGCAAGCATAAACGCCTTAGCAAGAGAGCATGCAGGCTCAGAAGCAAAAGGAGCACGCAGGCTCAGAAGCAAAAGGCATAGATGCCCGAAAAAGAGCACATAGGCTCAAAAAGCCATAGATGCCCAGAAAAGAGCACGCAGGTATAGAAAAAAAGGTACATATGCCTAGAAACGAGCAAGCAGGCTCAACAAAAGGAAAAAGGCAACTAGAATCTCTGCCCTTTCTTTTCACTCTTCTTACCCTTGGATGTCTATTGATCTGGAGGGCGAGGGGACTGGGACTGGAGCATGGGCCACTCCATGTCAAAGTAGAGGTCCATCATGACGTCTTCAGCAAAGGAAGGGAAACAACCGTTCCAATCACTGGATAAAGCTGTGTCAACATTCATGTTGCAGGGGGCAACATGAACTAAGGCTAACGGCCCTTCTCGGTTGTCCACAGAGGAGTCATTGCTCGAATGATCCCTTGCCGCTCTTTTTAGGGCTTTGGAGGGCAAAAGGTCAAGAGCCTTGATTATCGAATCACCCATTGGGTAAATACTTCGGGTTCGAAGTCGAGGTGATCTCTGTCCAAAGGTTGTTCAAGAGCTTGGTGCTCACGAGAGAGGTCTTTGAGGCCCTAGAAGGGCTCGGATGAGAAACACTCGATTTGGCCTCCTCAGGGGCCTTAGGAGGCTCAGGAGCCGCCTTTGGAGAGTGAAAAACATGGCCAAACTCACAGCATATTGGACATTGCTTTGGCTTTTATTCATACTCGACATCAACTGGGATTGATTCGCTCTCACTCGTGAAAGTAAATCGATGCAAGATAGGCTTGGCGACATCGATCTAAACACACACCTGAGCATAATCAAGCCAGGTGAACTCATAGGTCGATTGGTCGCACAATAACGAGCGACCAATTACATTGGATGCATGGCCCTCATGCATCCATAGAGCAAAAGACAATCTTGACAATCAGATCTAGAATGGGACTTTAGTGACCCATGAAGATCTAGGAGATTTATAAGGTTGCTATTGAAGTAGGATGATGTGTTTTCCCCCAAACATCTAGGGGCCATCTACTAAAACTCAGCGAAGGGCGGCTTCTTCCTTGAAACGGAAGTAGAACGGTTCCCCTTGGATAAGACTTGTCGAAGTCCATAAGTTATCCACACACGTGTGGCAATGAACTTGACGGCATGAAAAGACATTTTGTATTTGGGAAAAAAAAAAACTCTCAAGGCAAAGGTGCCATTGGGCTTGACCCTTCTTGATCAAATCAATCGGAAGCAAGATTTCCGGACTATCCCCTTCCATATTGTGGTAAGTGTAGGGAAGTGTGAACGGGGACTTGGAGTAGGTGACATGTAATTTGTCGCCCATGAAGAATTGGGTTGAAATGGACTATTGTTGGAGGGGGCAATTGATTGGTGTTGGCTTGGGTGGCGATTGGAGGTGGAAGGGTGTGATTTGGTTGGATGGGGCAAGAAAAGAAAGAAACAACTTTAGCAGCAAGTGAAGCGTAGTGGGAAATGGTCGACGGTCATCACAAGACCTTTGATGGAAAATACCAGTATTACACAAAGTTGGATGTTGTTCATGGATTATGGATAGAATACGTGCGTATTCAAATATCCTTCATATATACCTTTGCCAAAAGTATACTTGTTTAACTAAACACAGTATTAATTTATACTCTCTAATCTTGTAAAGGGTATTTCAGTGAAATAATATCTAAGTATTTTGTAATTACTACCAACCAAACACATTAATTATTTATACAGCCCACACGAACCAAACACAATAATAATTTATACATATTAATCTTCAAGGTTATCTATCTCACTAATAATCCTATCTTTTTAGTAATAAAACATTGTCAAAACCAAACACACCCTAAATACAAGGAATGTTTTACTAGGCAAACTAACGTAACGAAAATATATTTTTACCCAAATCTTATCTAGGGTTATATTATTTAGAACCCACTTAATTAGTTGGTGAAACAAATTATTAATGTAAATGAAGATATAAAAATGTATTTACATATTAATATTTAATTAAAAAAAAACACTTTTTTTTTTTAAACCTTGAATGACTACGATGATTTCTATTCTAAAATTTAATCGCACAAATATACTAATTTTATATGTTCAATTTAAAAATATTTTTAAAAAATGATGACAATGCTTTTAGAGAAAATCGTTTTTAGAAGAGATATAGTTTTGGGGGGTTCCAATTTCAGAATGATGCAAATTATCAATCGCAGGAGACTAGGAAAGTCAGACCACCCTTAATAGGCTCTAAATAATATGTTCCTACTCCTAAAGTAATTTGAGTGGCTCAAAAAGTTTCTTCGTAATTTTTTGAAAGGCACTTTGGTGTTTAGAATACCTAATAATTGTTTGTGTTGCAACAGTTTCGTGACGTGTTATGTTTTCTCAAATCAAATCCGACTCATTAGCTTATTGGGTCTAAATCTTAATTCCCGAACCCAAATGTTATTTTATCGTGTTAATCAAACCCAACCCAATAAAGTTTTGCTAATATTTTCTATAAATTTTTATAATTGAACAATGAAATATAATTCGATTGAACTCTTCCAAAAAAATTTATAAATGTATAATAATTTATATATCTAAACACATAAATATTGAAATGTATATAAACTTCATAATCATATACTCACACACATTGTTATTAACCTTTTTTTTTTTTTTTTTTTTACAAACCTAATAATATGAAGAAAAAAAAAATGCAATATTAAGTCTCATTCTCAAATTTCAATGCAATGTATAAAATATAATTTATTTTTCCGCTCAAGTTTCATCTTTGAACTATGTACAAATATTAATAAAGCATAACACTTTCACATCTTACCGTTAATTTATAAATTCATAAGTAAAAATTTAAAAGCAATATTATTCATATTAATTGAATTTGAAAATGATGACTATGAGATAGAAAATGAAACTTTTTGTGACTTTGAATAACAATAGAAATTAGGAGGAACATTAGAGATTTTAGCTTAAAATTTTAGAAAATAAAATAAATAATCAAAATATGATATCTTATTTACTTTACTTTTTAAAATCTATAATTAATAAATTCAAAGTTGAACTAGTCAAACACTTTTTTAAGACAAAACCCTAATACAACCCAGTTATGAAACGAGTTACTAACATGTTGACTTATTAATGACCCTAACCATTAAAGCTAAAACCAAACCGGCTTTTGACGAATGTGTTCGTGTTGTCGGGTCATGACCATTTTCGTCAGGCCTTGTTCAAATGTCTAGACAAATTTGGGAAAAAAACCTTCGGAACTTTTTGGGTACTTTGATGCGTAACTTTTTAATTTTTTTCTAGAGTAGATTCAAAACACTGAATTCAAAAAAGGAATTTCTCAACAGAAGGATACAGTAACTCCTATATATAATTAAAACTACTGGTAAAATAGGTAGAATTCATAAATGTGTAAAACTAGTGTAAATTAATAAACTCAATTAAAATTTGACACAATTTTTATAATGAATGAACCAATCCATCCAAATTCTTCTAATAATGAAACATTTAAGTAACAATCTAACCAAACATTTATCTCCCAATTGTTAGTTTTAATATTAGGTATAAAGGTAACATTATCACTCTTACATTAGCCCTTAGATTAAGGTTCAAGTGTTTCCTTGAGACCATAATGTTATAATTCCAACCTAAATCAATCTAATCAACAACCAAAATCTAAACACACAATCAATCACAAAGATAACAAACCACAACAGCAAGAATTTACCGTAGTTCAACTATCCTTTAAGGGATAGCCTACATCCAAGTTGAGCTCTACAATTAAGAGGCTTTCTACACTAATTGATCATTTGTTCAGTTTACACATACGACACTCAACTCATTTCTACAGATCTCATAACACTCTTACCACTCTCTTGATACACAGTTGTAGACTAATCACTAGGAGGAAATACTCGACCTGGTACTCCTAACCCGAGAGTAAACAAAACCCTCAATATGTGATCACTTGATCACAACCTAGAATACAGCAATCAAGAATTACAGATGAAAGAACAACGAAGAACCCTAACAGAGAAAATCACACAAAATGAGAGAGAGAGAAATTAT